AACAAACAGATCATAAAAGATGAAAGAAAAAGTTGATTTGTCTGATTTTAAAATATATAAAAATAACCAATCTATCGGATAATAAATTCTCCAAATAAGGAGGGAAATTGACATTTTAAGTCGCATGACCACACCACAAATGTTCAATCACAATTGACAACCAAACAGTGACTTTTAACTGTCCAAGAAGAGTCAAGCTATGCATGCAAGAACAATACTAGAAGAGACGTTTGTTAAAATATAGAGATTTTATTCAATACATATTCCAAGCTTCAAATTGTTTTCAATACTATGATAAATGGTCTTCAATATTTAATAGCTACATTCATTTTCCAAAAAGACAGTCTAAAATAGTAATCAAGATCCACATGTTTTTGTTTAGAGTGTTAACGCCTCGAAAAGATAATAACTTAAACCCATCAATAAGACATATGAAATAACCAACTTCTTTTATATACATCAGAGTTTCATACAAAAGTATTCGTATAACACAAAAGGCAAAATTGCACTACAGGCTTACAGCGTTCCAAGTTACACTTGGTTACAACAAAAGAGTTACTAGACTTCGTTTACAACATTAAGCCCTTAGCTTGATTTACATAGTAATACATCAATAAGTAAAAACGACAAAAGTATGGTCCGCCTCTAGCCTCCCAAGCTATGTCTTGGAGGTGGCGCATGCTCCTGTGACCTGAAAATGATTTCCCATATAGGGTGAGTCCACAGCCTCAAGTAGAAATATACTAAAGCCAGCCATGAACAATGACTAAAAGTTTGAGCAATTGATAGATGGCAACATGATACATTCACATAAAATGTCACAAATTTTATGTCAATACGATCTTATGAGTCCAAGTTACCTTTCATTTTCCTTTTTCAACGGATAGGGCATATAAGCACTAAACGCATTCTCAACAGATATGTATAACAATATCCACATTCTCAGATAAGCAAAATAAGCTATATCCACATTCTACAGACAGATTATGTATAACCACAATATCACAGATAAGCATACTAAGCTATATCCACACTTCACAAAGATAAGCATGAATATAGCTCTTATCTTTCACTTCTTTAGACAAGCATTATGAGCTGTATCTACGGAGTTCATCCCTATCTTTCCCAACACTATCCGGTTTAGAGGTACATCCCTATCTTCCCCTAAACCGGCGAGTACATCCCCCATCTCCTCCTCTACACATAAACGTATAACAACACCATTGGTTCTATATACAATCATCAATACATACAGTTAATGTATTCTACTCAACCGTCAAATTCCATGACACAACATTCATTGATTAGTTTCCGTTTGCCTAATCATCATGCATTGTCTACAACAATCACGGACTATCCTCCACCGATAGCCTAAAGCAGTTATTTCTAAACAGAAAATAAATACACAATGGATATTCAATCAACATTTCATTTCCTCATTTCTCACAATTAATTATCCCAATTAAATCAAAACAATGTAATTAGGTCATTAACCATAATTAACATTTCAACCCTTAGGTCCCATTTTCATCAATGATTCAACATTTATTCCATTTTCTATTCCAATCATGCATCTAGGTTTATTATGAATAAAACCCCAACTTTTGTAAAATTACACAAAAGCCCAAACTTTTACAAAATTACCAAACCAACCCCAACATCTCAAAATACTAAAATTTTAAAGACAAAATCCATAGAGAGGAGTAGGATATCCCTACCTCGAAGTTTAAGCCAAAAAGGAGATGAAGACTCGAAGATCAACGTGCTCCAAATCCAAACTTTTTCAGATTAAGACAAAGCTCTCAACGCGCCTCTTATCTGCCCTCTATCTTTTTAACAAAGGCCCTAGGCTAGATTCACACCCTAGGGAGATCAATTTTTAGAGAGAGTGTAAGTTTAGAGAGAGAGAGTCTCGGATCTAGGGTTTGATCAAAAAAGAAAGTGAAAAAGTGATGTTCAAAAACGCTATTGACCGCTGATATAAAACACGCTCGCTCGAGCGAAGCCTTTGTCGCTCGAGCGACCAGACACAGAAAGCTCTCGCTCGAGCCAAGAAGCTCTCGCTCGAGCCAAAAACTTAGAAGTGCGCTCGAGCGAAAGAATGCTCACTCGAGCCAACAACTCAAACCCTCAGGTCTGCAACCAGAAGCACGCTCGAGCGACAGACCTCTCGCTCGAGCGAAGAACAAACCAGACCGCTTGAGCCATGAAAAGCTCGCTCGAGCCAAGAAATACAACTCTCAGGTCCAGAACCAGACGCCATCGCTCGCTCGAGCGAAGCCACTCTGGCTCGACCCACCAGACACGAACTCAACTCTCGCTCGAGCGACCAACTCCTCGCTCGAGCGAAGGTCCAAAATCTGGGCAGCAATACTAGGCTCCCAAACACAACCAACCTGCCCAACACATCCTATAACTTAATATACAAAGTAAAAAGGATGCAAACAAGATAATAAACAACTACCAACATCTACGGACACATGTCCGGATCACTGTACAACAAGGGTAAACCCGGGATCGCTATAAGATGATACTTTAATAGTTTCAAATTCACCATTCATATCATCTGGGTAGATTATTTGTCCACTCATGATGAATCCAGAAAGTTAAAGCTTTCGTGCAGCTACACTTTTTGAATTTCATCAACTTTATGGTCACCTGGGCATTTGGTCTATAAGAGCTCCACATCTGAGCCAATCCAGTCCAATTGGCTAGTCCAAACTGGTTTTTTGACAAATTGACGATTTTGGAACATTATATTTTTATCAGAGCCTTTCTACTTTATTCTTCAAAGAATTATGTAAATTAGATGGTCAATTTTGGCCATTATATTAGCTTCCGTAAATCAAATAATGGGAAAGCCCAATTACACTTGTAGAGAACAAAGTTAAATGATAAAAGAGCTCCTTCAGGTACTAGATTTAACAAAGTGATGTAAGCTCACCTTGAATAAGATAATTCATTTTCACAAGTTAAGATTTCTGGAGTTGGCTCTGAAAGACCTTGCGTCTTATCAAGCAAAAGTTGATTGTGATATTCATTTTGTCAAACATTAGTGGCTTCAATGGGTGAATTGCTTTCACAAAGAATGTTGCCATCTGACAATGACCTCTTTAAAAATGTCCTATACACATACAAAATGTAGACTTATTAAACATTTTGAAAGAAACCTCATTTTGTGTCATATAGTTTAATAGATATCATATCACAAATATAGTATTTCCAACATGCTTACATACATAGTAATGGATGAACTTAAAAAGAGCATTCAAAGAGGATATCTCCAGTGTATAAAATTTGTAGACGATACAAATTTAGTTAACGAAACAAGAGAATGAGAAAACTTTAAGCTAAATTGTGGAAAGGTATTTCAGAATCTAAAAGTTTAGATTTAAGTAGGACTAGGATAGAATATAAGAATTGTAACTAGCAAAACTAGAAATAGGGAGGAAGATAGAGTACAAATTGTTGGGTTTATAGAGTTTAACAAAGAAGTTTTCTTTAGCATCAAGTCTTTTATCTCCAACATTGCATTAAATGAGGCATATAATTCACGAGTCTGCCAAAGCTTTTCTTGCATATTAAGCAGAGAGTGAATACATTTGGTTAATTTAGTTAAGATTGGAGGCAATAAGAAATTCATAAAAGAAAATATAACAGAACTAACCAATCATAGTATTTCCATACCACATTTTTTCTCATTACACCAAAATAAAGAACCATTACAGTGAACCAAATTGATCGTAAATCTTCCAAAAAGAATTTTGCTACTCTAATTTATTCTTTGTATTTGTGGAACTGATTTAATTAAATTTGCTTCTCAAAGATTATCCAACAACATGGTATAGCTATTCAATTTAAAACACTAACCAAAGCAGACAAAATTAGGATTTTTTTCCCCCTGACAATTAGCACGTGGGTGCTCTGTTTTGTTGGTAACAAGCCCATCTCATATTTGGAATGCCACACTGTTGCTTGGGGGCTGATGTTGTGGAGTTGAATATAGAATCTTAATTTTAGAGTGATCTCAATTTCAAAGGTTATGGAGCAAAGAGTAATTAAAAAAAAAAAAAAAAGGGAAATCAAATAATACTATGAACTTGAATTCTCTCACTTTCAATTTCATGCATAATGACAATCTTTTGTAATCTTGTCATTTCAAACCAAACACATAATTCGTATTAGAAAAATACTGCAATAATAGTTTTGTTTACAAATTGTATTTCTTGCATAGAGTTTTTTTTTGTTTTGTTTTGTTTTGTTTTGTTTTTTTTCTTGGTAAACTATTTTGTTCAATTTTCTTAAGGAAATACTACCATGCACAGTCCACTATCATAAGAAAGTTGAGAATTTTTTGAGGTGAAGTTATGAATTTTTGTAGTGTTTGTTATGAATAATTGTAGTGTAATTCTAAAGGGCCATGTAAGAAACCCCGTGAGACCAAGTTGAACCTAATAAACCGTGAACAACATTTCCAAGAAAATAAGAGAGAGGCAATCTGAAGAATGACAAAAAATATGGAAGATTAGAAGAGAAGGGAGTAAATTACCTGCAGAGCCAATTGAGGAGGGAATCCCACAACCCCATTTCGGAGAAAATGAGAATTTTAGATGAATCGAATAGAGTTTTTGTTTTTGTTTTTGAGTTCTGAGAAAGCAATCAAAGCAAAACAAAGCAAATCATCATGTTCTGTAAATTGAATTGAAGAAAGAGAGAGATCTGAAACTGCTTATATATACATATATATATATATATATATGAGAGAGAGAAAAGAGAAATAAAATTAGGGTTTTTGATTCCCCTACTACATTCCGCCCCTACTACGCATCTCAATTGCCGCCTCTGTCGATTCTAGCCTCTAACTTTGGCCAGCGATCTCAATGTCAAACCCCTTCTATTGCGTCTCCTCCATTTCAGAGAATGGTTGCTAGTTTGCAATGGTGATATCAATGGCGGTGGTCGTCATGTGCTCATGTACCGACGGCAGTGGAGAGAGAGAGAGAGAGAGAGAGAGAAAGGGGGCAGAGGAGAAGGAGGGCGTGACACAGAAACACAAGCGTGATATAGAGAGGATAAGAAGCTTTTTTTTTTGGGTCCATTAGCCACGACAACAAAGGCCATGGCAAAAGAAATCTTTTTGCGATGGGGATAGAAAGCCGTCTCAAAAAAATAGGTCTTTTACGATGGTTAATGGTTTGCCATTGCAAAAATCATCCAACATATCCTTCTCTCTTTTCGAGACAGGAATTGCCATTGCAAAAAGTGACTATTAGGGACAAGATATTAACCGTCGCAAAAGGTTACTTTTTGCGACAGAAAATATACCGTCGCTAAAGGTTCCGTGTCATATACCCATTTTTCTAGTAGGGGGTGCTATATTTAAACCAAAAGGCATAACATTCTAATGGTAATGTCCTCTAGGTGTATTGAAAGCTGTTAATTTTTTCGATTCTTCAGTCAATTGAATTTGCCAAAATCTACTCTTACAATCGAATTTGCTTAAGATTTTTGATCATTTGGTTTAATTAATCAAAACATCTTTTCTTGGAATAAAATATCCATCAAATTCTAAATTTTCATTTAGTCGTTTATAATTGACTACCGTTCTAGCTTTTCCTTTTTTAATTTCAACATGGTTTCTTACCATGAAAGCTGGACTAGAGTGAGGGCTTCTAGTTTCTTCGATTAACTTTTTGTCTAAAAGTTTTTAAAGTTAAATATCAAATTCATCTATATCTTGTCTAGTATAGATCATTAGTCTTACTCTAATGATAACATTAGAGTCTTTTAATTTCAAACTACAATAACGCGGACTACGTTGCTATAGTTTTAATGGATGTTCACTAAAAAATTTTTCCAAAATTTTATAAATCCAATGTGATTCATCGATAGTTTTGATGATGGGAGTTAAATTACCACGCTGAACGGACGCAAACTCTTTATCACAATTATATTTATGTTGTTCTAACAAGGGAATATGAATTAAGACATTATTTATGCTTAATGAAATGGTTTTTTCTTATACTTGCATCGGAAGGTACTCATAGATAAAATTATTTCCAAGAAGGAAATCTCCATGCATATAAGGACAGCATAGAATTTTTGGTATAATGAACTTGCTATCATTTAACCAAATAGCTATGTTGTTAGCCTTGAATTGTATGGAAGTATGGTTGCCATCAATTCCAGTAACCAAAATTGGGTGTTTTATTAATGTCCATATTTCTTTTGGTATGGCATTCCATTTACATGAGCTGATTGTAGCTCCTGTGTCTATGAGAACACTGAGGCTATAAGGTTTATAACTTGCAAAATTAAATGTGCCTAATACATATGTGTATCTTCTTTTTCCTTGGTTAGGAGAAAAAATAATATTATCATTTTTTGTTTGAAAATGACACATATATGTAGACTTAATATATTTAGATTGTCTTCTTGTTCCTAGAAAAATAAGAATCTGAACATTTGTTGAAGTAATAGATTCTTGATTAGAATTATTACTTGATTCACCAATGCTTAATTTTGACAATAATTTGTTAGGAAAATCTTTTTCAAATACAGAAGTTGCTCTTTTAATTTTTGGAACTGTATTTTGAATATATAAATTTTTTCCTGACGTTTGTATTTGCATTTATGTAGGATTTTTTGTTTTAGAAGATTCTCCTTATTTTACTAGGTCATGGATTAACTATTGTCGACGGACTTCTAAATCGCTCCAATTCATTAGAAGCGGTTGGATTATCGTGTCAAATGGTCTAGGTTCAAAGATTTCAATGATTTTACTATCGTTTGATCTTGTTTTTGTTTCAGAAAATTTGGTCAATTCGTGAATTATTTTCTAACGAATAGCCAAATCATGTGAATTATATTTCATTACTAATCCTTGTGTTTTAATTCTCATTTTAACTTTGTCTTCAAGATTAAGATCATTTATGAAAATAAAGAAATTTGGTTTAACATTAAATCAAACTACTCCATTAGCCAAATTAGATTGAATTCCTCCAATGATTGCTTTCATTGGGTCCGAAAATCTTTTATCAAAGATTATTGCCAAAATAGGAGTATCTATCCCTTGGTAGAATAGGGCTGTTATGGTTACCTGTATTAATCCAATATGAATATATTGAATCTCAGGATATTTCTTTTTCCATCTTGCAACCATTTTCTTATAAAAAAAAAAGAAATATCAATATTTTCTTCCTTTGACCATTTTGCTTGAGTGTTACCACTGTATTGTTCAAATACTCTTGCTAAAAAGAAATTGAATTTTAAAAGTTTTAAATTTTTGGCACAACAACTTCTTGCATTTTTTTGAATTTTGTTAATTCTTCTTCGATAAAAGTTTTTTCTTCTCCGATTACGTCTCCAGGTCGAATGGCTTGTAATTCTTCTAGAGATATACTATCTGCTTCTTGAGATATTTCTCGACTATTATTAGTCATCATGAAGATTAGTTCTTCATCACTAGAAATTTTGTATAATAATTCTTTTTCATCAGAAATTTATTCGCCATATATTATTTCAAAATCTTATTTTTCAAGAACTTTGATCATTTTATTTGCACTTTTTCCCCTTTTTGGGCGTTCGGATGCATAATGACCTTCTTCGTTACAAGTGTAGCATTTACAAGTTTTCTTTTTTGAAACACTTGTTGGTTTCTTTTTTCAAATATACTCTTTCTTTTTTGAAAAAGTTTTGTTCTTTTTCCAAGGTTTTCATTTATATTTTCGGCGTTTTTTGGAAAATTATTTTTGTTTAGGAAATGTATTACAACAAATTTTTCAATTTTCTTTCAAAATTTTATCACAACATTTTTGACCGTATTGTGAGTTGAAAATTTGATTTTTTATTTGTTTTTTAACCTTTGCTTCTAGACACCGATCTGCTATCAGTCTTAAAACATAATTAATGCGAAAATCAAGATTATCATATTCTTCCTTCCCCATTTTTTTGAGAAAATCAAGACATGTTTTAATACATAATTCATCCCATGGATTAGGAAGTTTATGGAAAAATTGATCTAGCCAGGGTTGATTTGTTGGTGGATCAATAATATAATAATATTTTTTAAAAGTTTAAACATAATCTTCAAAAAGACAAATATTACATGATTCTAATTTTGTCAAAATATAATTTGCACCGGCTTGCAAATTAGTATCTTTTGCAAAACCACATAAATTTTCTTTTATGATTTTTGCAAACTCGGCTAAGATTGTATCAAGTGTGAGAAAATTTGCCAACAAAGTTATTTTTTGGCTTTTTTCAATTTCAGTTTTTTTCTACTGTCGTAACCATTGAAACACATCTCCCTGGAGAGTTGCTGTAATATAATCAAGGAATTTTTCCTTTGATCAACTATTTTTATAATTGGTAATAATGATGGACAATGATAGTACCCAATCATCAATTGCTTGTCGCTGGTCCTTAAATAGAACATGAGACAAGTTTAAATAAGTACCATTTTGAGTTATTGGATACTTATGATTATTATCTTTTCTAGATATTATTGGCTTAGTTGTAAGATTGAAGGTACTTCCAATGTTAGTATCATTTTTAACTTCATTGTTTGAATAAGGTCAAAATTTTCTCCATCTCCCCATGTGCCAAATAATTCGGGATTAATTGGCTCTTCTACCTTTCTTTTCCCCTTATTTATTTTTGGTGAAATATCTTGATCTAATGTTTCTTCAGATGAGGATGATTAGCTATCATCATCATTAGTTGACATATTAATATCATAATTAAAGTACTGTAAAAGGGTTTCATGTTCTAGATAAGTTTCTCTTATCTGATCTAGTAGCCTATTTCTTTTATCAATACTTAAATCCGGATTTTTATATAATTTTCTCCAATAATCCAATATTTCAACAATATTTTCATATTCAGTCTTATTATAGGTATTAGTTTAGTTTGAAGTATCATAATATTTTCTGCAACATAAAAAATAGCCTAGGAATGGAGTTATCTCCTAAACTATTCATTCCATCATTGTTTATGACGGATATAGTTTATAATTTTGTTACCAAATTGTTTATTTGAGTTTTTGCCTCTTCGTTTAAGTCAATAGTTATTATGGAACCTAAATTGTCTATTTTAGATTCTATAAACTCAACTCAACTTTGGTTTTTAGATGATTTTGATTTATTTTTTGATTTAATCTAATTTAGAAAATTAAGAACACATAATATCCGGAATATTATTTAAATTAGAACACACACTATTTATATTTGTAGATTTTTTAGTAATATGCAAACTATGTCCATATTTATTATTAACATTATTTTTTGTATTTCGAAAGCATATTATATCTTCAGGATTAATTGTCATTATAGATTGTTGTTGGTACCTAAGACCCTCCTAGTGTATTTATCTAGTGCCTAAAACCTCTCTTTATAATCTTAAAGACTTAAAAATGCCTAATTAAGGCCAATAGTCAAAAGATCTTAATGAGTATATGGACTTTGATAAACACTAAGCATATAGGTTTTACAACAATTATAAATTAAACAAATAATTATGAAGATATAAAATCCATAATTAAAAAGTAAACTTCACGAATAATATTTTCTAAATTTATTTTTATTTTTATTTTTATACATCATTAAGCACACCTTACACACTTATATATATATATATATATATCAAAATTTATGCATACATAGAGATACTTATATAACTTGATCTTACTTTCAAAAGCTCTAACAAATGTAGTATACTCTCCATCTGTTTTGGACATTGGGTGCATAGTGACCACCTTCGTTACAAATATAACATTTACAAGTTTTCTTTTTTGAAACACTTGTTGATTTCCTTTTTCAAATATACTTTCTTTTTTGAAAACATTTTGTTCTTTTTCCAAGATTTCCATTTACATTTTCTAAATTTTTTGAAAAATCCTTTACGTTTAGAAAATGTATTACAACTAATTTTTCAATTTTCTTTCAAAATTTTATCACAATATTTTTGACCGTATTGTAAGTTAGAAATTTGATTTTTTATTTATTTTTTTACCTTTACTTCTAGACATCGATCTGCTATCAATCTTAGAACATAATTAATGTGAAAATCAAGATTATCATATTCTTCATACCCCATTTTTTTTGAGAAAATCAAGATAAATTGCTTCTCCTCCCAAAATGGTTTTGTTCACACTAACAAATTGTGACAAAACACAACTTGCATATCTGCAAGCAGCGTCAATCAAATAACCTTCAAAAGGTACTCCAAAAGTCAACGCAAAAGGTTGATCAATTCAAATAATTCAAAACAGCCAAGACATGAGGAAATTCTCCACAAGAATCGTAATTTTATTGACAGATATAACAAACTGTGCCACACCCTCAAAACCCACAAATCAATTTACAAAAGAAAACACAAACCCCCACCCACTGAATAAAAACAACTCGGTATTGGTAAACATACTGTAAAGCCGCGATTAAATTGGACTCAAAAGATCAACACTCCAGTCAACAATCATGCCTGTGGAAAAAAACATTAACCGAAAAAGATACCATTTATCTTCTTCCAGAGCAGATTCTGAGTTCACTCTATTCAAATGTATTCATTGAATTGAGACAAATTTCTGATCAAGCCGCTAGTACTATGATCACGATCAGAAGCACAATGCCAAATATCACCAAAAGCAAGCAGGCCTGTGTTGAAGACAAAGGTTAATTTATCATCCATGAAAATCATTATGGTAACAAATATTCAAGATGGAGTTAAAATAAAAGATCTATGTATATACAAGTACATATTTTCTAATCGGTAATTTGACTTAATCAATGGACAGCTGTAGCCAAACCTAAGAGAGTGTCCTATCGAGGTTTATTATTTGACGTCACGAACATTAACTTAAAAAGTATCCTCAATACTGGCCCACCAATAAAGCCAAACCTTAAGTAATGATAACAACTGCACTCCTTTGGTCACCTGAATACTAAATCTTGACAGATTGAAATGGTTTCCAGTTCAGACTACAGGTCTATTAAAGAAGTCCTACCAGAGCAATGCCCATGTTGAATGGTTTCTTGTGAAGTCAAAAGTATAAAGCCAATCCTGGAGAAGACTCTAACGTTACATTTCAAGTCCCACCTAACCACTACTGATAAAATGGCCAAAAGGGCCTACTAAATGGGTGGAAGTGACCCAACATGTTAATTCGATGATGATGGAAAACTTTACCCTTGAACCTTCCAAACTTTACAGTTCTGATAAAAACTAACATGATAACACAGGTCAAATATAAGACTGTTTACGTGGTTCCTTCCGAAGTTAAGACTGCAAGAAATAGAGCCTCACAACTAATCGAATTTTTAGCAAACAACAGAATAGCAGTAGTGCTTATAAATTACCAGAGATGAATTTGATCTTTGGGTCTTTGCTGCTTTGGCAAGATGAGCTTTTCCCTGTGCAGTTGCGGCATGAGCACCATCAATGTTGGAGCCAATATCATCTGAAAGATAAATTTTCATGGCATTTAACAAATGAACCAGAAGTGATAAAATGAGTACATTCGAGGGCAAGAGCCTGACTTACCAATCATGGTTCCCTGTTCATGGACCAGCACAGCAAGGTCTTTAAAAATCTCATTCACCTCCCCAATTTGTTGCTGGATATCTTGTATTCCCTGATCTCTTTCTTCAATGATAGCCTCATTAAAGGAAATTTCATTGTCTAAGAGCAAAACCTCCTGTCTGTAGCACAAATTACTCAGAACTTAAGGGACCCTGATTTCACCAGGATACAAAACAAAGTATTTCAAAAGAAGATTTTGACTCATTCACAGAAACTGTTTATGTTGAGATCCCTGCCCAATTTTGATCAAATAAGAGGTGATGCAAAGAGCATTTAGCCAGTTTGAGCTTTACTCCTCTCTCGGATGGAAATGTTCCTTAATTAAATGGGTCTTTTCCGGAGAGGGAGGTTGGGAGGTTTGGTTCAGGTTAAGGCCTCTAGGTAAGCACAAACACTACTAAAAAGGCTGTGTACATGTATCTGATATTCGTCCAAACATGTCCTATTTTTTAATAATTGACAAATCCTAAAGAAGTTACTTGTAACAATAATAATAATTATTCACCCAAAAAAAAACAATAATAATAATAAATCCGATAGTAGGATTTGACAAGTACTAGTACATACTTCTCTTGACTTAAGTCTTTGGCCTCTATTTTTTCCCTCATCCATGTGCCAAGACCTCAAATGTGTTCTGTGTGTCAAACTGTCCAAGTGACAAACATTTGTTTCCCACATATGCCCAAAGCATGTTAATTTTGAAAATAATAAAAATAAAAAAATAATGAACATTTTGAAAGCCTGTCTGACATGCATTCTAAATGTTTCAAGGTTGTCTGAAAAATGCCAACGACCAGCATGTAATGGACACAGCCATGACGCCCCAAGTGGTGTGTCCATATACCCCACTCCTCTTCATAGAGCTCACTCTTTTATGGGATCCATGCATGTGAAACATCCATAGTAAATTATACATCAGACAAAAATAATATTTGCAACATTGAGATATTTGCAGCATTTTACTTCAACAAAGCCAACACATGTATCCATGTGCAGATATATTAATCATCTCCATATATACAACATAGAAAAAGAAAAAAAAAAAAAAATTTAATGTAACTCACCTTCTAGATTCAACAAGAAGAGCACGTTGTTCTGGACTCTTATCCGAAGTTACGCCAAGCTCGCTGGCCGTGTAGCTGTTCAAATAATATAATCAAATCCACAACATAAGCAATGTGGACAAATGGACATTTTCATTTCAAAGCATAAATATTAGCCTGTCTGTCTATATGGAAGATGAAATAATCACAAATGATGACCATGTAAACATCCAAAACATACTTTGTGCACGCAATCGATGAAGGAAATTTCAAAACTGTGTAAATGCAAATCCTCCAACAATAACTACCTCGAAGGAAGAACAGCTTGGGGAACAAAAGCAGTATATGCTGTCTCCCTTTCAGCTGCAAGACGCTGAGCCTTCTGGAACTCTTTCAAAACTGCTTGGAAGTCTTTAGCAAGTTTAGCATCTGTAATCTTCTTGTTGGCCTGCAGTTAAAGCGTGGTATTTAACAACGCCAAGAGAGAGAATCAGAAGAGGGTTTTGTTTGGGGTCCTTGCTCAGCCACTTATTTTTATTAATTTAGACATATTATGAAATTAACAGAATTAGTTCAATTGGCTCAACAGCACTTCCTTAGGCAACCACCCCCCCAAAAAAATGGATAAAAAAGAATCTCAAATGGAGGCACAAGAAAGTATGTTTATATTACAGAAATACAATACAAAACGTTTATGAACAGGATTTTGGGAGAATGAGAAAGCAAGCTTCGTGAGAGAGAGAGAGAGAGCTCCAGTCCAATACAAACAGCAAGTTAACAGACAAACTTACACTAACTTCAACACGATGATCTGTTTCACTAGCTTGCTTAAGTTTAGCAGATGTGTCCTTCACCAATTGCCCAATATGTAACCTTGTTTTGTGCCTGCCAATTGAATGAACAAGGTATATGAATAAAAAGGAAAAGGTTGAAGGAAACCATAAAACAGCCAGTCACATAAAGAAAGTAATGAAGTCTCTAGGCATAATTATTTCTGGCTAATTTGATTTTTTAGTTTTTGAAGTTTGATGCTTTGAGAGTCTACCCTACAATAATTTCAGAAGTTTAACTAAAGCAACAAAAGAGTAAGAAATTACAAGTGAATTACAAAAATAATATGAAACAGCTGGTTGAAATCATCTGCTTAATTAGAAAATTTTTCAAATGAATTCTAAAAACTTTAAAAAATATAAACAATCTTGGTATTTGCTTGTTTAGTTTCAACCATGCAAACAACTGGAAATAGGTCAACGTATTTATTCATTAAGAAAAAATTCAACCAATTCAGGGATCAAATCAGTTTTCTACGTCCACAATGGAAAACCAACCAACTAAAGAATTGGCCTACAATACAAACCCCCTCCCTCAACTCAAGAGCCTGGAGTATCAACTCATAATAAATCACATAAATTAATAAAAGAATAGGAAACGGAAAGCCCCTAAACCAGGATAAGTCTCTGCAGCATTTCTAAGCATAGTTGCATGCAATATCCTTTTAAGTTCTACCATATTATAACCGGCTGCATTGAAGTGACCTTATCCCTAGGAGGAAGAAAATGTGTACCACCCTAGTAAACTCATTTGAGGTGTCAAACAAACTTCTCCATGGCGCCCTGAAGCATATTAACAAATCCAACCAAAAACCTCAATCAGACACCACACATTAGAAAGGAAGATTGATGACATTCGAACTTGATTGGGAACAAAGCAAATTTGAAGAGTTAGTTAAAATGAGACCTAACTTTGTAAATACGATGTGTGGGCTAAAGAGGTCATTTCATTGCCTACCACAAAAATGGAAGAGCGAGCAACTGAATCCCTCAGTAGTTCAACTTTCAACATCATGCGACTACTGTAGTCTATATGCAAAATGCTTGACTAAACAAATGGTGTGTAGATCTTAATTTTTTTTTTGATAAATAAAGTTTTATTAAGAAAGCATCAAGGAGATGCTGAAAGAATACAAAAAACCAAACCCTCAAATAGGAACCTAACCAACTAAATCATCCACAAAGTCTAAAACAGCAAATAAATTAGGATCTACCCGTCCCGACATCCAACTGTACAAAACACCAAAAAAACAAGACTGTAACTGAACAATCGACTGAGCCCTCCCCTGGAAAACCCGACGATTGTGCCCTACCCAAAGCAGCCACATCAAACATAAATGAGCTAATGTCCAGGCTCTCCTCTGGCGCTTCCCAACTCGAACATCCCCCGCAACACTGAAGCACATCCAGAACTTGCTTTGGCTGCACCCACACCACACCAAATAAAGAAAAACAAGCACTCACAAGCGAGAAGCAAGCGGACAGTGAACAAGCAAGATCCACTGTCTCCACATCCGCACAACACATGCAACACCAATTCACCAAAAAATGATGCCGAAAAATCAGATTATCAATAGTCAATATCCTACCAAATGCAGCCATCCACACAAAGAAAGTCACCTTCGACGGAACACCAGAAACCCACGCATGACGCGAAGGGAAAGACCTCCCACCGTCGCCACACAAAGTCCCATAAAAAGACGAGACAGAAAAAACCCCTTTCGCATGAGGAGCCCACCAAACCAAAACATCCTCCTCCTCACGACCAAGCCAAACCCCATACAAAAAGGCCAACAATCCACCAACTGCCCAAACTCTCAATCCTGAGGCTGCCGACGAAGCACTACATCCCAAACCAGCCCCTCACCTCCACCACCCAAATATGAAGCCACCATCACATTAGGATCCACCGCCAACTGAAAAATCAAAGGAAAACGCTCTTGTAAAGTAATCTCCCCACACCACCGATCTTTTCAAAACCACACACACATCCCATCAAACAATTATCTAGTCCCTTCCAATAGCAGCTCTTTTTGGGACAAGATCCCAATTGTGCTTTCTAAAGCCTCCTTTTGGTTACAAAGTGCCTTCAGAAAGATTTTAACTGTTGACCATCTTCTTCAGTACCAAGAAATACACAGAATTTATTGAAAATACCTCAAAGTGATGCCACTTACAACAAAGCACCAAACTAATTTTAAGAAAACATACCTAATAAATATGCTAACTTAAGGCCAAGTTTGGCATCCTCCAAAAAATCCAAAAAGTCAAAAAGTCACTATCCTATTTAAGTCACATCATCTTATTTAAGTCACATCACTTCTCTAACACATCACTTCAAACCCAACCCAACCCAAATCCAACCCATATTTCATAAAAAGTCAAAAAGTGCACTTATTTAATCTTCCCAAACTTGGCCTTAGTATTAAGAGCCTCTTAAATTGTTTTGACAGTTGTCAATTCACAGCCTCTACTTCTTACCTTCAGGGTTCTTGGGTTAAAAGATTTGAGTATTAGAGAGAGAGATAGAGAGAGAGAGAGAGTGTGCGTTGCTTTCCCTTGGGCCTTACTTGGGCAGAAAAAGTCAAGCCCAGAAGTAGGAGAGTAATGTATCAACCCAGTGGAGATCAAACTCTCACATCATCTCCCCATTGCCAATTTGAAGCATTTGATGAGTTCCTTACTGTATTTTACCTCACAGACATAGGTTGATCATGAAACCTGGAAGTCATTTGCCATGAATTTAGGACTATGCAATGTACATCTAGTAAATAGCTTCTTTCTCTTGTTTTTTTTTTTTATCCCTCTATTCCTGTTATCAAGGATTCTAAGCCAAACCCAGGCGAAATTCACTTAAGTGGGTAGATAAAATAACAAACCTGTCCAAAATACTATCTTTTTAAACTATTCAATCAAAATTGTCTATTACATTTTGCTTCCGATTCAGTCTTTGGCCCTCTGTTTGTTTTGTTTTCTTTTTGTCTTTGCACTCTTTCTTTTGAATTTAAAAATAAATAAATAAATAAATAAATAAATAATAATAATAATAATAAGTCTTTGAATCGACATTACCAAAATTTGTTGACAAACTCACCATAGATTAATTCAGATCCGTAATAAAAAATGAAATCAACAAAATCCCCAAAACCCACCAAAAAACCAACCATAATTCACCAAAATCAAGCTTCAATCGACCACAATCCAATCAAACCCAAAATTCAAAACCAGAAAAACATGAAATCGAAAGGACGATGGGCACTCACAGCTTTTCCCGGAGCTCGGGCGTGTCCTTGGGGGTTCCAAGAGTATTGACAAGCCTCTGAAACGTAGAGACGGCGGTGTTGATCTGAAAAATCCCGGAAGCAACAGCTTGCGTGGGATCTTGCTTGCCATTGATGAGGTCTCGCCTCGAATTCAACGAACGACCCGCTTCGAGATCTTGAAAGCTCATATCTTTATCAACCACTAACAATTCTCAAATGCGTGTGAAAATGTATAGAAAGAAGAAACCTAGAATCTGGGTTGGGTTTGGGGAAAATCCAGCAGGAATTGGAAGGTTGGAGGTAGGGCAAGAAGGTGCTGAAAAGAGGGCGACAAATGAGGAGCAAAATGGAAATTAATGGAGGAGAGAGATGGAGAGTTTTAGAGAGAGAGAGAGAGAATAATTTGAAGACAAAGAGAGGGGGGAAGCAATGATTTGATACATTGGGATGGTGAGGAGACTGGCGATGCCGGCACGTCGATGTTGGCTAAAAGGGCGACACGTGGAGTGGACTGAGTTGAGGTTTTTTGGGCATAGGTTTGTTGGACCGTTCTCTGTTTTTTTTTCTTCTCTTTTTTGTTGGTTTGCTCATTATTGAAGGAGGTATATTTTTTTATTTTTTTTATGTTTTTAAGAAGGTATTGCAGGACGGAGGTTGGATGAGTTTTTTTTTTAAAAGAATAATGCTATTGTATTAGTAGTTTATTTTCAATTAGAGATTATGGGGTGGTTTGGGAGGGTCTTGCGATGCTGCTGTGCGATGAAATAGGTTTATTTTGAAGTTTATTTTGATAACTTAAATTGTTCATATTTTAAAATATATTAAGTAAAATATGTTTAAAAAAATTTAAGTTAATCGGATATCATTTAACTATTCATTTATACACATTTGTATTATTTTAATACATTAAATTACAATTATTATTTATTTTTGTAGATACAAATGTGAGTAGATGAATAAGTAAACGATATTCGATTAACTTGATTTTTTTACTTGATGTATTTTAAAATGTGAACGGTTCGAATTATCAAAATGAGCCCCGAAATGGGTCCATTTCGTCACACAACAGGTGCTGCTGCACAGGTTGCGCAGCAACATCCTCAATTTCGGTTTAGGATGATCTAAATAAGTATACTTTTTGACTTTTTATGAAATATGAGTTGAATATGGGTTGAGTTTGAAGTGATGTGGTAGAGAGGTGATATGACCTAAATAAGATGATGTGACTTAAATAGGATAATAATTTTTTAGCTTTTTGACTTTTTGGGTTATGACAAACAAGGCCTAAGATTGAATCCATTCAGTTTTTATTATAAATTTATTTTTGGGTCCTGTTTTAATAATTCAAATTGTTCGTATTTTAAAATTCATCGAATATATTTTTTATGTAAAAAATCAAGTCGATCGGATAACGAAATCCTGAGATCAGATAAACATTACACGATCATTATCCAAACACATAATAAAAATTAATTTAGTAAAATAAATGTATAAAAGATTTATCAATTTTACATGATTTTATTTTTGTGGGTAGAAATAATTTTTCAAATTTTAAAAATATTTTTTTGACATTTATTTTTGTCAAATTAATTTATACTTTGTCAAAGTGATGATTTTGTTCTTGAAATTGAGCAATGGTATATTCAATTATTTTTAGGAAAAATTGGCCTAAGGTCCCTCCACAACTTTTAATAAGAGGAGAGGTACACAATAATATGTTATGATGGCTAAGGTTCCTCAACTTTATTTTATGTTATAAAATACCTAATTTACCCTCGTTATAACATAAGATTGTTTGCATTTTGGCAATGCTGACTTCACGATGAGATTTTGGAAACCGATTTCACGGTGAGATTTTGTAGGGATTTCGCAAGTGTTGCAGTGGACTTTACGATAGAGATTACGACAATCGTGTAGGTGTTATAGTGTGTTGATCGCGTAGGTTTTTCAGTGGAGTTGAATCAGGTATGGTTTCAATAGAGATTCCACATGAATTTTTTATCTTTGTTTTGAATTTTATGTAAGGATTCCGATTTCATATTAGTTTTTCGAGTGTATTTTTGCATTAGGTTTTTGTTTTCAGTTTTGATCAATTTAAAAGAGAGGCTAGCTCAGTGAAGTTATTTATGATTTTTTGAGTTGATTTTTCATTTGATATTATTGACCAATTTTAGACAGAGGCCAGCTTGATAAAGTTGATTTTTATTTTTGAAATTAATTTTTCATTCTCTATTTTTTGATCAATTTCAAAGAGTGTTGACAGTGTGGTTGATTTTGATGTTTAGAGTTCATTTTTCATGCTCTGTTTTTCATCAACATGCTGATCAGAGTTCATTTTCCATGCTCTGTTTTTCATTAACATGTTGATCAATGATAAGTTTTGTTCTCTATTTTTTCAAACCAGAGAAATTTGTTTAAACCAGAGAAATTTCATTCCCTGCACTTTTGTTGGTATACTCCAGAGAAAATTGTAAGTTTGTTATCATAATCCAACAAAATAACAGAGAAAATTATAAATTCATATGGACATATTATTAGTTTGTGATGTAGATAGAATCTGAGAAAGTGAATGTCAGTTCTTAAATTTCTCTGGACTTTTATTTGTAGTTGAGAGAAAATTATAAGTTTGTTATTCACTTTCAATTTGTAATTCAGAGAAAATTATAAATTTGTAGAAAATGAATATAAGTTTTTGTTTCTCTGAGTAAAAGTTTTTTTTTTGTGTTTTTTCTTTCAGTTTAGATGGGCAGTGCACTGTTTTTTGTTATCTTGAAGGTGTATATGAGTTTGTAAATTTCTCTGGACTTTGATATGAGTGTAATATTGCAGAATGACGCAAAGAAAATGGTAAGCTTGTACTTCAGTGAAAATCACAGAGAAGTTTATAATTTTATAACAGATCTTCTGTGTGTTTTTTGTCTATGATTGTGTTTAATAGTTAACAGTAAATTTCTCTATAATTCTCTTTGGATTCATTAATTTTTCTGTGATTTTGTTTTTGTTATCTTGAAGGTGAATATAAGTTTGTAAATGTCTCTGGACTTTTATTTGAGTCCAGAGAAAATTATAATTATTAGAAATTTCTCTGGACTTTTATGTTATTCTTGTGAAGTGTTTTTATGTTGAACAAATTATTTTTCTTGTTTTTTTTTTTTAGTTTTGATGGACAGTGCAGTGTTTTTGCTGTGCAAATATGGGAATAATACTATCGTCATTAATGTTTCATGCGAATTGAATTTTGAGGAATTGGTTGACATTTTGTGTAAAATATAGGAGAATTTGCAACCTGAGACGATATGTATTTAATATTCTATTGTGGGTCATCCGAATTGTATGGTTCGAAATGATATTGATTTTATGAATATGTTGAGGGTTGTTTGTGCACGTGGTGTTGATATAGTTGATGTTTCAGTTACTAAATGTAGTACTTCTGATCAAAAGGATGAAGTGGGGTCTAATTGGGTAGATGTTGTGAATGGTGAATGTGATAGGCTGGTGGATATTGAAAGGAATTCACTCTCTAAGTTTTGTTCTCACTAAGAAAAGGTGTTATTGTCAGCTAGTTGGCGAAATAATATTACGAGTGTTGGACAAAAGTTTGAGGGTGGTGTGGTTGAGTTCCGTACTGTTTTATGCAAGTATGCTATTGAGGTTGGCTTTCAGTTTACGTATGTTAAAAATGACAAGCTGAGGGTTACGACAGAATGTGCATATAAGGAATCAAGGGGATGTATGTGGCGTGTATATGCTTCAGTTGAAAAAACAAATGGGTTCTTTTACATAAGAACTTTGAACAATGAACATACATGTAGTATGGCAGTTCATACTAGTAAACATGCTAGGATGACTTCCAGTTTAGTTTCTGGGCTGATACTTAAAGAGGTAAGTGCAAAACCTTTAACTCGTCCAGTGGATGTTGTCAAAGAAATGAAAGACAAGTATGGGTCTCAATCAGTTATAACTATGGTTGGTTAGGGGTTGAAAAAGTAAAATGTAGTATATATGGGGATTCTTTTTTGTCATTCGATCAATTACGGTGGTATTTTGATGAGGCATTGAAGAACAATCCAGGTAGTCGTTTTGAGTTAGATTTTGAAGATAACAAGCGTTTCAAAAGAGTGTTTGTGGCTTTTCATGCATGCATTGCTGGTTTCAAATATTGTCGGTCATTACTTTTTGTTGATGGAATATTTTTGAAAGGACGATACATAGGAGTTATGCTTGCTGCGACGGGAAAAAATGAAAATGAAGGTAATTGTAAATATGTCTAATTTTATCTAAGTATGTGAATTTTCTATACATGTAGGAATTGAGTGAATGTGATTTTTCTCTGACACTTTGAATTTTCTCTGGTTTTGGCCACTGTGTGGATTTTCTCTGAATGTTGTAATTATGTGAATTTTATCTGTAGTTGGTCACTAAGTGAATTTTGTCTGGATATTGTCACTAAGTGAATTTTTTCTGGATATTTTGGTTGTGTGAATTTTCTCTGTGGTTGGTTACCAAGTCAATTTTCTCTGGATGTTGTCAATGTGTGAATTTTCTCTAGAGTTGGGCACTAAGTGAATTTTGTCTGGAGGTTGCCATTGTGTGAATTTTCTCTGGATATTGGTGATATTAAATTTCTCTGGTTGTTTATTGTTCTAATTTTCTCTGCATGTGTATATCTAATATGCTTGTTCCTATTTGATTTATAGGTTTTTTTCCTATAGCTTTTGCTGTTGTTGATACTGAGAATAAAGACAATTGGTGTTGGTTCCTTGAACATTTATGTGAAGTATTGGGATCAGAGAGGGTGATAAGTTTCATATCAGATCGACATTGCGGTATTGTGGAAGGAATTGCTAGGTTTTTCCCTAACTGCTTTCATGGATTTTGTCTTGAACATCTAAAGAGAAATTTGAGGGATAAGTTGTCATGTGGAAACACAATTCGGTTAGGGAGACAATTGTGTCTAAGTTTTCAGAATGTACATATGCACCAACAAAGGCATCATTTCATTTCAAGTTAAATGAATTAAAAAGTGAGGGTGGAGACATTGTGAGTGTTTTCTTGAGAAGTTTACCATATGAAAATTGAAGTGATGCATATTTTGAGGGGAAACGTTATGGTGAGATGTATTCAAATGTTGCTGAGTCATTCAATTCATGGATACGAGAAGCTCGGCACTTGCCAATAACAAATTTAGTGGACATGATACTGTTGCAAATCATGAATATGAGATCTGATAGGAGGCTGCTCTCTAGTAAATGGAATAAAGTTCTCTGTCCTCGTATGGATAGTGTATTGGAGAAGTCTTTCTTAGATGGAAGGACATAGAATGTGAGTTTATCATCTAATAATGTCTTTGAAGTGCATTATTTTCCTTCGATTATGGTTAATCTTGGGTTGAGAACTTGTTCATGTCGAAAATGGGAAATAAATGGGTATCCATGTCAACATGCTGTTGCTACAATTTTTAGGAGTGGAAAGAAT